GACATTTTACTCTGAGGGACATGTATGAACAGTTTCAAAATGTTATGAAAATTGGGCCATTTTCTCAACTAATGGGAATGATGCCTAGTTTTAGTCAAGACTTTATGTCGAAAGGTACAGAACAAGAGTCTATGGCAAGACTAAAAAACGTATAATGACTATTATACGGACAGTATGAATGTTACAGAATTGGACAACAGAGATGGTGCAAAATTATTTAGTAAACAACCAGGCAGAATTGTAAGGGTAGCAGAAGGTTCTGGAGCAACAGAAAAAGAAGTCAAAGATGTAGTTACACGATATAGAAAATTCGAGGCAGGAGATATGTCTAAAAATGTGAATTCAATACAAATGGCAAAGATGATGGATCTCAGAGTTTTACATCAAATGGGTGGATGAATAAAAAAGGTGAGGATTGTATAATTTCCCTTCTCGTCTAAAAAAAGTTATTCTGTCTTATGAGACTCGACGAGTATCATAGTCGACCTATAATTAATTTTAAACTGAACCTAGGAGGAGCCCTTTTTTGGAGAAAGACCTTTTTTGAACGCGTTAAAATTACGAGCAAATGATAGCTACTTAACATTCAACAGCGGAGGAAATTCTGTATATCGCAGGGGACTCGACTTTCAGCTCAAGACGATCGGATCTTTAGATAAGAGTTGAAAACTGCAGGTATAATGCGACGTATAGGTAACATAATGGTAACGTAATGGTAACGCTAACCGACAGGAGCATCGGAGCCTGGTTTCCTACGATTCTGCTGCTGCTCTTTTCACAGTGCACTTTTTTTTCATTTTCTACCCGTCGTCTCTGCCTGCCTCTTTTCTTCTCTTTCCTTCCCTCCAGATATCTAGATTACTGGCTATTCTATTATGCTGTTGCGTAAGTTCGCTCAGCGCTCTGTCCTCCGTTACGAAAAATGAAATATATACCTTGCTCTCCTTTGCATCAGACATTCATTTACATATTTACTTACTCACTCCTGCGGCTAGTTTAGTTTGAAATTAATCTGAAACTGATAGCGCAGCATGCGACAACCGTCACGTGTAACGTTTGCGTCAATATGAAAATACGTTGGGATCATCCGTGAAAAAAGATACTACGCGCCAGACGGAGCACATAGGTGACATACACGACTGAATAAATGAGATTGTAAGAAACAAAGTATTAAAATTGATTATTAGTGCGAGTATCTGTCTATTTAATTGTAACACCTATAAATACGTTGTACCTCTTTATACCTGACTCTCGCATACGATACCCCTTCCCCTTGCTTTCGTTTTTCACGTTTCGTGCCTCGCAGAAACTGCCCTACGGACCGGATAATACCTCTCATAAGTCATAATGATGTATATTTGTTCGCATCTACGTGTAGGTACCGTAAGGACCGTTCGTTTAGGGTCGTGCCGTGTCCTATAATATCCCGCTCAACACCTATGTACCGAAGTTACGTTTCAAAAGAAGTTACGTTTGAAGAGCTGTAAAAGCTTGTTCTTTCGAAATTCGACGAAAATTCGAAGAGAATTTTAGCGGCGTAAATAATTTAAATCGAGCAACTTACAATCTGACAATTTTCTTGAACCAGAGGTGGAACGTTGAACGAGAGGAGACGAGGGACGGACGGGTGACAATAGGGCGCGTAACTAGATTTAGAGCACGGCGGAAGGGGGGTTGTTCGCCGAGTTCTAGGCTTGGCAAGGGTTGCTGGAGCAGGGTCAGAAACTAGCGCCTCGTAAATCATCGGTTAACGCACTGTTTAGGCGGGGCGGTTTCACGGTGGGTACAGTCCATACACGGTTTTCCAACACTAAATAATTCCACCATTTGCAACGGGGTGGCCTGGATCCCCGCTTTTTACAACCCTCCGTTTACGATGAGAAACAACAAATTGATGTCTTCATTTGGCCATCGACTAGGCCAAACGCCCAGCTTTCTCATTTCTCTTTCCATTGCAATAAGACTGGAGAACCGAGAATTCTGGTGGCTCACGATATTTCAATGGGAAATGGAACACAGAAATTTCACCACAGACTGTTAGATACTTTGAAATATGTGTCTGTGAGGAGACTCGATATGATATTTTCGTTCGAAATCGGCAACAGCATATTGAAAATCTTCGTATTCACGTGCAATCAGTCTTAGCAAAATCAAGTGCTCGTAGAATACATTACAAAAAAGCGAGAAAAGCAGAAACAGGGAGGAAACTTGTAAACTATAAGAACGTGAAAATATTACACGTATAAAAAAGTGTTAACACGAAAAATTCACACAGATTTTTAATTTACTTTTGTGTTGCATGATTGATCGTGTATGACTGTAACCCTTTTCTTCGATCTTAAATTCGAAATTAATACAAAACAATGCCCACATACCATAGAAATAGAAAAATTCCGTTTCCATAGCAAGTGTATCACATTTCGAATATTTTCGCGAGCCGAGTATTTCGATGGATGGTGAGGGGGTTGCTCGGCGCGGCAATGACAGAGCCAATGTCATTAACAGCTCGCTCGTTTCAACATAGCATTCGTCTTGCTTTTGGAGCGACGCCAGCGACAACGTGCTCTCGCCGTGGTGCAGCGGTCGCGTTTCAAATGGCCAGCACGCGGAGGCGACATATTTATGGCTTGTTTTTAAATATTAAATGATGCAAAGGTACCGCTTTGCCAGGATCCTCCCTGCACCCCTCGCGTTCTACTGGTTTCTCGCTGATAGAGACGTTATTAACTCCGAAAAGCCGACCGCGCTCGCGAACCGTGCCGAATTCTCAACTTGGATTTATGAAGCAACCGTGAAAGAATATCTGCCGTCCGCCCTTTCTCGCCGTTAATTCCTAATTGATGTCTTTATTCGGAGGATCCTTTGGCCCAACGAATAGCCATACACTCCCTTCTTCCCTTATATACAACACGCTCCACGAGATATACGACCGTCTTTGCTAATACGTTGTTGATACGATGCGACTCGAAATATTTTTTTCCCTTTCTTTCATCGTTCGTGTAATTTCAATTTATCGCGCAAACGATGGATTTTCATCCTGTGGAAATAAGAGCCGCTTCTAGACTTTATCCTAT